GTATACTCTGCCATAATATATGACGACATCACTGCCAATAATGCGGGAAGTCATGTAAACAGTGAGACTTTGAAAGCCAATATTCATGGGGGGGGGGGTTGAGTGTGTTGAATGCTAAAGGGTTAAATATCAGCTCTCTATGTTCAACCTACCATAATCTGCTGCATGTTTATTCTGCCATAATATATGATGACATTATCACAACTAACACAGGAATTCACACAAACAGTGAGACTATGACTAGAAACAGTGTGAGTTTAAGAGTCAATATTTACGAGGCAGGTTTGAGTATGTTGAATGCTTAAAGGGTTAAAGTAAATATCAGCTCTCAATGTTCAGAGAAGCATCTGCAATATAATCGACCCTAACCAGGCATCTCATCCCCAGTCACTTTTTCCCTGACATGACATGACTTCCCTCTGCTTGTTCTACAGATATTTTCATGGTAACTGCTTTGACGAGCATTTTTTCCTGGTGCTTTGACTACATAAATTTAAGCATGTGCTACTAGATTGGCAATTAGGTCTCATTGTTTTACTATTTAACTAGCTAAATGCAACTGTCATTTCTACTCTAATAGATTTTTTTTTTTTTTCTCATACTTCCCACCTGTGGTAATCACTTCCAATTTCTTGCTTTCCTGTTAACTACAATCTTCAAAAAATTTAAATGCAATGTCAATCACAATCTTCTGTCTTCTTGAAGCCGGTTCCTTTTTGCCCTTCCCTCAATATTCTCATTCAGTTTCACTTCCTGTAACCCACTCCCATGCATTCTTGTGGCACTGTTAAAATGGTTAAAAAAAACCCCAAAAAGACATATAGCCCAGTGAATAAAAGCATTGGTTTCATAATCCAGTAACCGGGCCGAAAGAGTTGTGAGTTCAATACTTGGCCACAGCCAAGATGAGCAAAAAATTGGAGAGTTGATTTACTAAAGGGTGATAACTGAAACAGATATACAGAAAAGGCATGGCACATGGAACCAGAACAATCTACCCTGGTGGATGAAATAAAGGATTTGGTTCGAAATTCCAACATATATCCCCTGAAGAAGGCCGGAGTGTACAATGGCCGAAACGTGAATGTGGCAATAAAGATGAGGACAACAATCTAAACAATGTAAATAGTGTAAATAGTTACAATACCTCATCTGAGAAATAGAGACAGATTTTGAAGGTGAATATGGCAATAAAGATGAGGACAACAGTCCAAACAATGTAAATAGTTATGATACCTCCATATCAGAAATATAGACAAAAACAAAAAAGCTGATTCATTAACATTATATACAAAGTACCAATTTAGTGATCGAGAATGAAATTTGAACCTGTATAAAGTGAACTAATTAAAATGGTAATTAATAAGTTTAAATTCCTTTAGAAAATGTAGTTTTTGTTTATTGCATGAAAAGATGTTCCTATCACGATAAATGGAGGCATGTGAATAATGGCTCTTATTGAGGAATCTGAGAGCTAAGTTTGAATTCCAGTCGAATCCATTACATTCACTTACGTTCTAATACCCTTGAGAAAGGTATCAATTTTCTTCTTCTCCCTCCAGCTATGGGTAAATAGCAGGACAGAGTGGGTTCTATAGCCTTGGATGGCAACTGGTCTAGGAAAAGGATAGCTGAATTCAGTTCAACCTGTTGGTGTCTGGGTTGTCGGTTTGTAGGAACTGAGCTGCTTTACCCTCATACGTCGACTATGACGGGAGAGTCCACCATAGAAAGATAGAGGCACGGTGGAGTTGTGCATAGCAGCTCGGATTGAGGAATTGGAGAGCCTAGTTTGAATTCATTGCATTCACTTACGTGCTAATACCCTTGGGGGAGGTATTCTTCTCCCTCCATCTATGGGTAAATAGCAGGACAGAGTGGGTTCTATAGTTTTGGATGGCAAATGGTCTAAGAGAAGGACAACTCTGGAATTCAAAACCTGTGGCATGTCATTTGGGGACCTTGGTGCACCAGGTCTCTGTATTCGGCCCTTCAAAAAAATGTGTTTGGTTCTGCATAAAGCTTTCACCACTATGATCAAATCGTATGTGTTGGGGTCTGGGTTGTTGGTTCCTAGGAACTGAGCTGTTTGAATCTCATATGTTGAATACAACAGGAGAGAGTCCACCATCACAATAAACAGTTATCAGTAAAAAGGTATTGGTAATATTGTTTGACTAATTATAAACAATTGTTCTATTGTTGGACAGAATATGTGAGGAACAGGGATGTTTAAAAGGAAAATAAAGATTAAGAAATTGAAACTTATAATCTATATCTATAATTCTCAAAATGTGTGTGTGTCTGTCTGTCTGTCATTGGATGTTGTTTATCTGTTTCCATAGTTTTCATCCGATTTTGATGAAATTTTTTGGTAGCTAATTCTTCAGTGCCGATTTTGAGTCCAAATTGTTGGCGACAATGGCTCTCCACTACTTCCTGTCCATTATAACTCTCAGCAATGTTTTACTATTTACTATCTGTTCTTGGATATATATATCTTTCATAAAAACTTTAATGAAAATAAATAGTTTAAATTATTACAATAATATCATTTATCATTATACAGTTGCCTTTTCAGCCCCCCCTTCAAATTGTCTCCCCCCTCCCCATTTGTTGGTGAGCCTCAGTTGTACACAAATGTTGTTACTAATATTGATTTTCAGGTGGGCTGACTTTAAACTTAAACTGCTCCAATTGAACGGCAAAAATTCCCAGCAATGAAAGGCCCGGTCGAAGATGGGTTATACTGCTAGTCAGAAAGATAAAGCTGAAATTTCTGAGACATATGATTAGAAAGAAAGACTTGGAGAATTTAACACTCCCAGGGCGTATTGAAAGTGAGGAGAAATATCAAACCACTTAACAGGTTTGAAGAAACAGAGAGCAAAGAATGGTAAAGGGTTAAAAGTTCCTAAGAGCAACAAAAGACAGGAAGTTGTGAAGAGCCATGATCACGAACAACTCTTATAACAAATTTATAAAATGTAATAAAAACTTTTGTGATCTGAAGTGCTTAATCTATAGCAATGATTCCCAACATGTGGCGCATGACCCACCGGTGAGGCATAAGTAATATTTTGGTGGGGAATGCGTAGGATGTTCACCCTTTGGCTTAATATGCCAACAGAATAAGGGACCAATTCAAGAATGAGTCATTAACATTGAATTGTTTTCTAGTGAGTCTGAGTGAGAGTGTTAATGTATTTTAGTACATACGATGCATATACAGTATACACACATAAAAATATTTTGTGCATATGTACGTACATGTGTAATTGGCATACACGTAAGAATTACCCTATTTGACGGCATATATGATGAACTTTTTTTTTTTTTTTTTACTAAAAATATCTTTAAAAATACCCCTGTTACTTATATGCCATATCAAGGTTTAAAATTTGCGATACTCAGCAGAAATTAGCTACCTGGTGACTCCTATTAGCATAGACTTTAGAGTACCTTTCATATACCTATTGTCATTATTTAAAAGGCTATTATGCAGATTAAAAGTGTTATCATTGATAATATTCATTATATTAATTTCATCACGTTTTAATATTAGTACTTTGTTTCACTAAAATTATATGCAATAAATTCAAATTATATATTTATAAAATATATTTGTTTCATTAATATTTTTCTTGTGATAACTTCCAGTTGCATTGGTATAAATACAATCAGAATTTTTATATCCTAAATATTCTACTAAGACGTTTACAAAACACAGGTTGTACTGATCATATAAAGGAAAATTTTTGACTGAATTTTTAATGGTAATTGTACTGTTTTGATCAATTGTAATAATTGCTTGATTTTTTTATTTAGTTTTCTTACCTTTGGATATAAGTTTTTATAGGCTTGTGTTCTTTTTTCCTATTTTTCATTTAATTGTAATCATGGTTTGTTTAACCAAAATAATACCTCATAAATATAGCCTAGGCTGTACCTCATCCTGGGTAAGACGATAAACTATGTCCAGCAGCAAGGCCTCTGATCAGGAGGTTTTGAGGAGTGTGGAACCACCTCTTAATTGCTGGTGTTCCCAGGTCCACCCCGACCCGGGGTGGTAGCACCTGTTAGGGTCCCAGCTATGGGCTGATAGTTAACCCACAACCTGACTCAAAACATTATGAAAGTGTAAAAGTAGGTTTTAATACCAGAAATACTTTGTAAAAAAAATTATTACCAGCAATAAATTTTTGAAAAAAAATATATATAACCAGCAATAAAAATCTTGTCGGCATTAAATAACCCATTGAGGTGTTGATATGCTATAAAACAAAACAATCCTTGGGCCAGACTACAGTGGATACTTAGATAAATTTGGCACGGGGTAAACAGTAACTGTGTAATACTAAATAAGATGATGATGAGGTATCCCTTAACATGGTCAGTGGAATGAGGGTGACCTGCCCCTGTAGATTAACTAAAGGGTTCAGTTTGAAATTCCCTGAATGTTACCTTGATCAACAGGCCCCTGATGAGGGCTAGAGAATACAATAGTTGAAACATTGTGATAATGACAACAAAGATGAGGACAACAGTCCGCATATAAATAATGTAAATGGTTTTTGTGTGCGTGCGTGCACCAAGACATAGTCTAATGGAAGGATGTCCTATCGGAAGCATTTAGTGAACCCCAAATGACCTAACTAGGCCTTCAGGAAGTCTTCTCTTGCTTGTGGAGGTCTTCCCAGAGGTTGTTTAAAAAGAGCAAAAATGCTTATTGAAACTTGAAACTCATTGGACATGATGAGCAAGTCTCAAACTGCTTTTGAGACTATCACACCTCATTTCAATTGAATGCCATCACTTTCATTTTGTTTCTTTTTATTTCTTCATTTATTTCTTTTTTCATTTTTTTTCTTTTTTCATATTATTTTTTTCTCTTTTTTTTTTTTTTGTATCTTTCTTGTATATTTTCTTTCTTTTTTCTCCTCCATATCTTCTATTTCTTCCTCTCATATCTTTTCTTTCTTTTTTTCTCTCCCTCCTGTATGTTTTCTTTCCTTTTTTCTCCTTCCCCTATCTATTTTCCTTTTTTCTCCCTCCCCTATCTATTTTCCTTTTTTCTCCCTCCCCTATCTATTTTCCTTTTTTCTCCCTCCCCTATCTATTTTCCTTTTTTCTCCCTCCCCTATCTATTTTCCTTTTTTCTCCCTCCCCTATCTATTTTCCTTTTTTCTCCCTCCCCTATCTATTTTCCTTTTTTCTCCCTCCCCTATCTATTTTCCTTTTTTTTTTCTCCTTCCCTATCTATTTTCCTTTTTCTCCTCCCCTATCTATTTTCCTTTTTTTTCCTCCCCTATCTATTTTCCTTTTTTCTCCCCCTATCTATTTTCCTTTTTTTCTCCCTCCCTATCTATTTTCCTTTTTCTCCTCCTCCCTATCTATTTTCCTTTTTCTCCCTCCCTATCTATTTTCCTTTTTTCCCTCCCTATCTATTTTCCTTTTTTTCCCTCCCATCTATTTTCCTTTTTCTCCTCCCCATCTTTTTTTTCTTTTTTCTCCCTCCCTTTTTTTTTTTCTTTTTCTCCCCTCCCGCATCTTTTCTTTCTTTTTTCTCCTCCACATATCTTTTCTTTCTTTTTTTCTCCTCCACATATCTTTTCTTTCTTTTTTCTCCTCCACATATCTTTTCTTTTTTTTTTCTCCTCCATTCTTTTTTTCTCCTCCACATCTTTTTTCTCCTCCACATCTTCTTTTTCCTCCACATCTTCTTCTTTTCTCCTCCACATCTTCTTTTTTCTCCTCCACATCTTCTTTTTTCTCCTCCACATCTTCTTTTTTCTCCTCCACATCTTCTTTTTTCTCCTCCACATCTTCTTTTTTCTCCTCCACATCTTCTTTTTTCTCCTCCACATCTTCTTTTTTCTCCTCCACATCTTCTATTTCTTCCTTTTTTCTCCTCCACATCTTCTTTTTTCTCCTCCACATCTTCTTTTTTCTCCTCCACATCTTCTTTTTTTTCTCCTCCACATTTTCTTTTCTCCTCCACATCTTCTATTTCTTCCTTTTTTCTCCTCCACATCTTCTTTTTTCTCCTCCACATCTTCTTTTTTCTCCTCCACATCTTCTATTTCTTCCTTTTTTCTCCTCCACATATCTTTTCTTTCTTTTTTCTCCTCCACATATCTTTTCTTTCTTTTTTCTCCTCCACATCTTCTATTTCTTCCTCCCATATCTTTTCTTTCTTTTTTTCTCTCCCTCCTGTATGTTTTCTTTCTTTTTTCTCTCTCCCTCCCCTATCTATTTTCCTTCTTTCTCCCTCCCACATCTTTTCTTTCTCCCTTCCATATCTTTTTTCCTTTTTTTTCACTCCCGTATCTTTTCTCCCTCCCGTATCTTTTCTTTCTTTTTTTTTTTTCTCACTCCCACATCTTTTCTTTCTTTTTTTTTTCTCCCTCTCATATCTTTTTCTTTCTTTCTTTTTTTTTTCTCCCTCTCATATCTTTTTTTTCTTTCTTTCTTTTTTCTCCCTCTCATATCTTTTCTAACTTCTTGCCATTTTTTATTTGTTTTTCATCTTTTCATTTCTTCTTTTCCCCATTTTCTGTTTTTCTTTCTTTTCCTTTTTCCATTTTTCTCACCCCTTTCTTTACTTAACCCTTTTTCTTTTTTGCCTCTTTTTTTCTGTCTTTAATCTTTTTCTTTCTTGATCCCTTCTTTTTCCTCTCCTTTATCCTCGTGTTCCTTCTATTTTTCTTTCTCTTTCCTTTTCATTTTTCACTTGTTTTTTATTCATTACTTTGTTCCTCTTCTTCCTCTATTTCACTTTTTCTCTCTCCCCCCACCTTTTCTTCTGTTTTTCTTTATTTTTGCTTTTTTTTTTTCCCTTTTTTTTTCCCTTTCTTTCTTTCTTTCTTTCTTTTTTTTTTTTTTTTTCATAAAGTGCAGAACATTTAAAGAAATCATCATATTCGTTATTTCAGTATATTTTTTGTGAGGAACATTTGTGAAAATGTATTTTTCTTACTTTTCTTCTCCTGCCTTTATATTTCCGTCTACTTTCTCCATTTTTTTCCGCCATTATTATCTAACAATCTACCAAACCTCTTTCAAAAGCTATTAGTATCATAATGAATTTTAAAGTGTCAATTTTTGCTTCCTTCTTTTATTCTTATCTTGCACATCTTTCACAGAGCATCAATGTCATCTTTTAAACAAAAAAAAAAAAAAAAAAAAAAATGGACAATTTGCAATAGTAGGTGGTTATATTTTCAGGGTTGGGGGCAGATGTCTTCCTCTTTTCAAGTTACATGGAAGTTATTATTGCCAATCCTGAGTTCTCATCTTTATCTTTCAGTATAACGACATCTACAACTTCCCTGTGCACGCCTTTAATAAGGTGGTCGAGGGGGAGGAGGTTGAAGAGAGTGAAGCTGAATCAGAGGCTGAAGAGGAACGGGAAACTGACAGCGAAGAAGATGAAGAGATTACCCAGGAAGTGGAAAACGAGATGGATAAAGAAGATGAACACGTGGTAAGATTTTTTTTTTTTTTTTTTTTTTTCCTGTCTCTTCTGGCATCCCACTCCCTTCCACCTGCCAAGATTCCAACCTATCGCCTTAACAATGCTGTAGTTAATACCGAAACAATTTTCACCATCTTGTCTTTTCAGATTTGATTATCACATTCCGTTTCCCCTTCCTCCCCAAACCCCCGGCATCTTTTGACTTATATTCACCTTTTATACTTGATATTCAACGGTTAAAGTGTCACTTGATGAGTTGAGTAATTTTTTTTTTTTTTTTTTTTTTTATATTTCTGACGTAAGTGGCACATTTCCAGGATGATTTTATATGAAATCAGTTTAGACTGATCACCTGATTTTGATAATTCTCATATATATATATGCGTGTGTGTGTGTGTGTATGCGTGTGTATATGTATGTATGCACGTGTGTGTGTGTATGCGTGTGTGTGTGCATGCGTTTGTATATGTATGCATGTGTGTGTGTGTATGCGTGTGTGAGCATGCGTGTGTATATGTATGTATGCGTGTGTGTGTGTATGCGTGTGTATATGCATGCCTGCATGTGTGTATGTATGCATGCGTATATTTATGTATGTTTTTGTGTATGTGTGTGTATATATATATATATATATATATATATATATATATATATATATACCTACGTTGTGGTCTGCGACTTAAGTTTCAACTGGAAAATCAGCAAAACTTAAGTCACACACGCCACAACGTAGGTATATGTATATTTTTTTAATACATATCTTTGCTCTGTCTAACCACATCGAGCACTGTTATGTTTACACCTCAAGAATAAATTTTATTATTATTTGCTTGTCTGTCTATGCATGCCAACACGTGCATATGCAGTTGCTTATATCTGGTCATTTGATTTACCTAACACTATAACCATGATGATAATGATGGACTCTCCAGTCGTTTTCGACGTATCTGTGTCTTTCAGTCCAGTTATTATGTTTGTTTCATATGAGACAACAATCCTGCACGGGATTAGCAAACAAATCCACACGAAGGGCATATAAGCGCTGATGTATTAGGCCAAGGTTTAGTGTTGGATCTTAATTCTCTCAGATGGTTGAGACGATTCTTTTCAAAATTAGTTATACCTCGGTGGCAGGTATTTCTCCAGTTTGCTCGGTTTTCAACAGCAAGTTCGAACTCCTCTATAGGGATGTTTGCAGCACTTAAGTTTGTCATAGTTTTTACATATATATGCTAGCAGTAGAGCCTGGCATTGCCTGTGGATGTAACAGTAAGAGATAGATCAAGTATCGACCATCATAAAGACTGAAAAATAAAATTGACAAAGATTATTGTTTAAGGTTGACGGACACACGTCTTAATTAGTTTTATTTTTTTTTTTTTATTTTTTTTTTACGAATTGGTCAAACTCAAACAATAACATTGTTTTCAATCGTTATGAGTCTATCGATTGAATAGAATTTTATTATAAACAATTGTCTTGTAAATGGAATTTTTAAAGTATTCTGAATGTAAAAATAAAGAAAAAAGTGTGCAAGACAATAAGAAACACTACCTGCCAAAAAAAAAAGTGAAGTTTTGTTGAAATCGGTTGAAAAATGTAGGAAATCCGATTGCAAACACACACACACACACAGACAACCAACCTGGGTTTTATAATAAGTATAACTCGATATGAGTTGTCCCCCTTTCATTAATGCCTCTTAATTGTGTTTTCAAATTGATTCCATGCAAAAACAATTGTTTTTCCAATTTTTGGCACTGTCAGAACCACCGCAAGGTAATTTTACGTAGTCCTGTGAAGTTTTGTTGAAATCGATTGAAAAATGTAGGAAATCCGATCCAATATATAAACGTACAGACACTCACACACACACACACACACACACACACACACACACACAACCTGGGTTTTATAATAAGTAAGATATATATATAATATGATAAAGTTAATTTGTAATCTGTCTGGATAATTCTGAGGAAGATATAAATCCCAAGAGCTCAATGTAATAAAACAGAGCAAGTAATAATTAACAAATCACAAACTTCAGAAAGCCATGGTTATATTTTGTTTCACAAAATCAATAATTCAATTTCACTTCGTCAGACCAGGTGGTTTTAAAACAATGAATCTTATATATGAAATAGATGTGCCATTTTTATTTTAAGCAGTGTGTATTATGTCTTTCAGCCTGTGCATTTGAGTAGTATTCTTAATAAAGAAAATGTACTCTCTGGTGGAATAAAATCTGTGCTCCCCCTTTATTGGAGAAACCACCATTTTGTCCAGCGTGCTTTATCACACTGTTACAAAGAAAGACACTATGAAAGTATAAAAAGACGTTTTTATAGTTTAGAAAAAAAAGAAAACAATATGTTTTTATAGTAAAATGACCTGCACTACATTTAATTTAGATTTCTCTATTAAATAACCCATAGACATGTTGATATGCCACTAAACAAAACCAACCAAACCAAATATCTATATATAAATTGACACATACACACTATTCTATTTACCTGCTTACTGGAAATAATTAAAAATGTAAAAAATAAATAAAAATCTAAAGTCCTGGTATTATGGATAGGATACTGTTCCTGAAAGTGAGGGGGCTTTTTCAATTATATTTTCTTTTTCATGTGACTTTTTCTCTCAATCATTTAATCCCAAGTGTTTGTTAAAAGGAAAATTGTCTGGATTCACATTGACTTGCATGGTTTCTTGGTATGCTTAAACTCTTATTGATATAAGGTTCTGTTAGGCATAAAGTGGGGGATCTGTTTTCTATTGCTATCAAGTAATAAACTGAATCCTCCTTGAATTACTACATATCAAAATAGTAATGCCTTAATAAAATAAGCCTTTTTTTTTTTCTTTTTCTTTTTTTGGTATGGTTAAACTCGTTAATATTAGGTTCTATTGGATATAAAGTGGGGGATCTGTTTTCTATTGTTATTAAGTAATAAACTGATCCCTCTCAAATTACTACATATTAATATAGTAATTGGAAAATATATCTGATAATATACATATTTAATATAGTAATTGGAAAATATATCTGAATTCTTTTTTATTCATAATAAATACACACACACACACACACACACACACACACACACACACACACACATATATATATATATATATATATATATATATATATATATTCTTTGGAAACCTTGTGGCATGTAGTTCACCAAGTCTCTGCATTCAGCCCTTCAAAAGGTGTGGTTGGTTCTGCACAAAGCCTTCACCACTATAATCAAATCATGTGTGCTGGTGTCTGGGTGCCGGTTCCTAGGAACTGAGCTGCTTGACCCTCATACATCTATATACGATGGGAGAGTCCATTATATATATATATATATATATATATATATATATATATATATATATATATACACACACACACAACAAATAAGAGAAAGAACAGTTGGAATAAAGATCCATGCACCCTCTTTAACTTCCAGAAAGAGGCAATGATTTGTTTTAAATTTCTCTAATAAATCATTTTTTTATCACAAGTTATCTACCATCACCTAAGGAAGTACAATCATAGTTTTGCAACATGAAATTTTTTTGTGTAGTTGATGTAAAATGTTTTTATTATAATCTATTATAATAGAAAAATAATATATATATATATATATATATATATATATATATATATATATATATATATATATATATATATTTTTTACATATCTGATTGAATATATTACAGACATTATGTGTGCTAATTTTTAACAAAATCCATTCATATTCACGAATAACCTTCCATGCATTGATGTTAAAGGATGAGAGAAATATGCTATATCTTTTTAAATTTCTTTTATTTTCATTTCCCAAATACTTTCGATCTTCTTCGAAGATCTTCAGGAGTGCAAGTAGTACAAAACTATGTTCTTCATTAGTACAAGTATTTATACAAAGTTTTATTTTTTTATTAGAATCCATGGGAGATATGTTAGTATAAATAAGATTCTTTATGATTTTTTTTTCATCCTGTTTGTGGTTATCGTGCATCTGGTTACAAGTTTGATATATTTAGGGTCCTCTGAGGAAGTACCATGTTCTATTTGATGCGTGTTGAGGTTTTTATATATCGTCTTATTTGTTCATCTTCAATGTGCTTTGGGAAGTCATTATTAATGAGAGTCTACTTAATATTTTTTTAGTTCATTGTAGAAAATCTTTTTTGTGGAGCAATTTGTGCTTGGTTAATTAAATTTTGTGTATGTGCTATTTTGTAGTAATCTGGACATTCACTCTGATAGTTTGAGAGTGCAAGAAAAGCATGCTGGTTATTTTTTTTTATACGGAGAGGTAGTAAATGTGTTGTTATTTGTGTCTATAAAAATATCAAGGAAAGGGATTTTGTTATCTTTGTTAAGTTCATATGTGAACTTGAGGACAGAGTTTTTTTTTTTTTTTTGAGTTCCATTATTTCTTCTATGTTTTTAACTAAAATAAGGACATCATCTACATATCTTAGATAGATGGAGGGTTTCTTGGTGGTACTAAATATGTTACTTTCTAGGTTGGCCATGTAGAAGTTGCTGGAGGTCGGACCCAAAAGTGAACCCATTGAAACACGATCACATTGCACATATATGTTATTTCTGTGATCATAAAATGGGAGTTCAGTGGTACAGGTTAAAAGTAATTTTCTTAATATTTTAGGCTACAACAACATTCCTGTCCACATTCACAATATAAAAACATTACTAATTGACAACACAACTATCCTACAACAAGAAAATAAATTCAAGCTACAGATCCTAGAAGCAATTTATATTAAAAAAAATTAAAGCCTCACTGAACAAAATTAACTATGAATACTGCAGTAATGTTTTGAAATGCCTGTAAAGGAACAGTTTTTCACACTTTAATGCGCATGTGACCATGACATTATAACATAGAGGAAAAAATTCCATAATGGATAATTTTTTTCACATTCTAATGAACGCTCAGCACATTGTCAACTATTTTTTGCATTTAAAAGCATAATGAAAAAATTACGGTAATGGATAACAACACACATCTTTGTATAAATACTTGTACTAATGAACAACATATAGTTTTGTACTACTTGCATCCCTGAAGATGATCTTGGAAGAAGATCAAAAGTACTTGGGAAATGAAAATAAAAGAAATTTAAAAAGATATAGCATATTTCTCTCATCCTTTAGCATCAATACACTGAAGGTTATTTGTGAGTGTGAACAGATTTTGTTAAAAATTAGCAGACAACAACATCTGTAATTTATCCAATCAGATATGCCTAAAAGAGAATCTGCTGCCTAAATACGCACATATGCACACAATCATTTAAGACAACTGACAAGGTTAAGTGCAGTATGTTGTCTGTAGTCTTTAATGAAACATGTATAAAAGAGGGATTGCTACCAAAATACACAATATATACATGCACACACACAATTTGAGCCTCACACATATTTTGCCAAAGCTGAAAGAAAAATCTTGCGTTGAGACAGAACAATTATGATTTTAAAATTGCTTTTTTTTCTTTTTTTTTTTTTTTTTTTTAAGATAAACAAAACCAACTATTAAAACAAAATAACATTATGGAATTTCTCTTGAAAATATTTTCCCTGTGAATCTGCCAAAACATAAATTGGACTATTGTTGTTGCTGTAGATTATTTTGACCCCTGAACTCTGGAGGAATTTGAGGTCGGTCTATCAGAGGTGGGACGGTATGATTATAGAATCCTGAATTGTTTTAATCTGAGTACCAAGCAACCCTGTGATGGTGTCCGCACACACAATGGGGACAAGTGATACCTGCTGGTTTTACTGGCAGTGAGTTTCGTAACCTTGTACTGATAAGCCTCCACTTCACACAAGTCATTGTTGCTCCTTTGCTTGGCAATACAAGGAAATTGGGTTCATTAAGCTGATATACATTGCCCAAGTAGGTGGTGTAGGGTTAAAGGTCAGTTTTTAAAATGGCGGTGTATTTTGATTTTTAAAAAGAAAAATTTTTTTTTTTTTTTTTTTCCAGGATGGTGCTGCCGGTGATGTTGAATATGTTCCCTATGAAGACTTTGAAGAAAGTGATATCGAAGATTTAGAGGTAAACGCTTTCTGTCATCTCCCCAAACAAATATGAAAGGGGGGTAAAAAAAATTAACTCATCCCAACATAGATTGGGTCAGAACCAAATTTCATGGCATTTAAATGAATTTCAAAGACAATCTTGAGATATTTCTACATAGATTTATTCAGCCGCATATGTGTGTCCTGAGTATGACGATAAACTACATCGAGCAGCAAAGCCACTGATCGGGAGGTTTTGAGGAGTGTAGAACCACTTCTTAATTACTGGTGCTCCCAGGTCCACCCTGACCTGGGGTGGTAGCACCTATTAGGGTCCCAGTTATGGGCAAATAGTTAACCCTGAAACTGGGGCAAAAATGGGTTTTAATACCAATAATACTTTGTGTAAAAAAAAAAAAAAATTATTATCAGCGATAAATTTTTGAAGAAAAAAAAAAAAAAAACTATTACCAGCAATACATTTTTGAAGAAAAAAAAATAATACCAACAATACATTTTTGAAAAAAATATTACCGCCGATGCATTTTTGAGCAAAAGAAATATTACCAGGAATACATTTTTGAAGGAAAAAATTATTACCAGAAATAGATTTTTGACAAAACAAAATATTACCAGCAATAAAATCTTTGTCGGTATTAAATAACCCATTGAGGTTGATATGCCGTAAAACAGAACACAACAAACCAAACCAAACCAATCAGCCACATATGTGTTATTTTGTTCTGTTACATTTTACCATCTTTGTGGCAGCTTCATGATTCCTAGAATTTGGCATCCATGATTCCTAGAATTTGGCATCCATGATTCCTAGAATTTGGCATCTTCTTGTGTTACGAAGTGGTTTAAGTTGTTTTTACAGGCTTCCAGAGAATTTAATTCCTTTTCATTAAAAGAATTTTATAGGGATTGAAATAATTGATAATCCAAAAGTGAAAGGTCAGGTGAGTATGGTGGATAGAGAAAGATATCCTGGCCAAAACAATACCTGTTTCTTCCATTTTAACATTTAACCTTTATCACACTAATTTCTTTTTAGAATTGTTCCTCTTTGCCACTGCATCTTTTTTTTAAGAGAGCAAAAACATGAACACCTATTGTTTTAAGATTATTATAACTTTCTTTATATTGTGCATATAGATTTTATTTTTTGTACATTAATAAAAGAACGAATTTCAGTAACAATCAGCCTAGATTAAGATTACTAAAGAAAAATTGTACATCTCAACAGAAAATCAAACATGTCATATGCCTTTTACTATCAGAGAAACCAGTCTTATAGCTGAAGCAAATTGTTACCAATTTGGTCACTGGAGACCATCTTGATAAACCAAAGTTCCATTTACTTAACCTTTACCATGCTAATTTCTTTCTAGAGTTGTCTTCCCTGACACTGCAATATTTTTGAGGGTGCAAAAATATGAACGCCTGTTTTAAAATTGTTATAACTTTGTATTGTGCGTATAGATTTTATGTTTTTGTAAACTAATAAAAAAAAAGAAAGAGTAATATTTTGATGTAATGCATTATCTTTCGCATGCATGTTTTGATGTTGAAAACAAAAAAAACTGAAACACAAAATCAAAAACAAATACATTAACAATTTCACATACTTTCATTTTTATTACTTCTTGTGGAATTCTGGGGGGCAGTAAGATGCAAAATGGCTAAGAAGGCTTTCATTTTGTCAAAGAAGTGATGTGCTTTCTTGTGTTTACATACGAGACGACATCAACATTTGTTTGCTCTTTCTTTCACCTAATTAGCATATTTATTTATCTCGTTCACAAATAAAGTTATTATTTCGGCATTTATAAATAGACAAAATAATTCATGATACATACATGGAGCCAGTAGGTTCCATAAAATGAGTCAGCCATGGATTATACCCGGTTGGTATCTAGTGGTCATCATTGCTTTCCCCCATGTCACTAGCATAATTATCATCTCCCGACCACTTCGCCATCAATATCCACTTGATTAAAGCCTTTGTAATCATCATCAGTCCAAATCAAAGAAAAACTGAATAATGGCTTAGTTGGATGTTGATGCACCCATTTATATTTGCAAAAAAATCATAAAAAAGTTAATGTGGATTTAACTAATGTCACACCTTAGATGAATTCAAAATGGCGTCGGAAAATGGAAGTTTAGCTTTGTTCCAAAGCAGTAGTAGGTGGTTTCCAGCTTAAAATACTGGAAATAACATTTGACAAGTGTTTATTTATAGCAACCATCTCAAGGCAACAGAATGCACCTAGAGCAGCAAAGGGAGAGAATTTTATGGTGACAATTGTTGCCTGCAGTGTAAAGGTTAATCTGTAGTTGAAGCCATAAGATTGTGTTCAAAATATTTAGATTTCAGCATTGAATAACCCGATGAATAAAGTTATTATTTCATTGTTTATAAATAGACAAAATAATTCACCTTCAGTAAGGCTATCAGGTATATCGATGGTTGCTAGTAGCTTCCTTAAAATTAGTCTGCCATGGATGATAGTAGCCACTAGTGTTCATCATCGCTTTCCTCTATGTCACTAGTGTGGTTATCATCTCTGACCACTTCACCGTCAATATCCACTTGAGTAAAGCCTTCAAAATCATCATCGGAGTCCCAATCAAAGAAAATCTGAATAAAGGCTTTGTTGGATATTGACATGGCCATTTTTGTTTACAAGAAATCATTAAAAAAATTAACATGGTTTAATCGATGTTACAAATGTAACATGTAGAGTCTAGAAGAATTCAAAATGGTATTGGAAAATGGAAATTTAGCTTTGTTCCAAAGCAGTAGTAGGTGATTTCCAGCTTAAAATACTGGAAATAACAGTTGACGAGTATTTTGTCTCAGGAGGCAAAATGCACCTAGAGCAGCAAAGGGAGAGAATTTTGTGGTGGCAATTGTTGCCTACAGTGTAATAAAGGTTAATTATGTATGTCAGTTGCTTCCATATCCTTTCAGGATGTCGGTGATCATGGCCTTTCACAACTTCCTGTCCTTTGTTGCCATTAGGAACATTTATCTCTTTACCATCTTTCATGTTCTTCTATTCTCTGTTTCTTCAAACCCGTTAAGTCGTTTGATGTTTTTCTCTTTTTCCCTCATTTTCAATATGTCTTGGAAGTGTTAAATTCCCTAGGCTTTTCGTTTTAATCATGTGTCTCAGAAATTTCAACTTTCTCTTTCTGATTGTAAATATCAATTTCCTTGTTTTTCTTATTTTCCTTTTAAGCATCCTTATTGCTCTCATATTCTGTCCAATAAAAGTACAATTGCTTATAATAATCGCAATACCTTTTGGTCAATAATTGTTTCTTGTGATGAAATATCTTTTCCTGCAATAAAGAAAATCCTAGAGGAATTTAAACTTAGTAATTAACATTTTAATTTGTTCAGTTGATAGATACAAATTTAAATTTCATTCTTGATTAATAAATTGATATTCGTGTGTGTATCAAATATTGATAGGAAATTAATGTTACACCTAGTGAAGTTTAAATGAATTCAAAATGGCGTCGGAAAATGGAAGTTTAGCCTTGTTACAAAGCAGTAGTAGGGGATTTCCACCTTCAAATACTGGAAATAACAGTTGACAAGTGTTTATAGAAAATTTTTTAAGGCAGTAGAATGCCCCTACAGCATGCAAAAGGAGAGAATTGTACCATGACAATTTTCACCTTCAGCATAGTAATGGTTAAATTGTTACATGTAACCGTATGTTCTATGTTGATAGTTTCATCACTTGCACTTCGAGATTGTAGAACTTTCTTTTGACTTCTGACTCTCCTGTCATTTTTGGTCTTCAAAAATATAAATGCAGCATTGTCTTCTCTTTTTTAATCCTTTTCTTATATTGGCCTTTCTATTCTGTAAATGTTTATTTCACTCTCAGTAACCATTGCATCTTTGTGGCTTTATTGCCTTACTTGGGCTGAAATGATTAAAAAAAAAAATCATTGATAACTTTATTCTAAAATTTGTCATCTACTCTAAAAAAGTCTTAACTTTTGTTCCATCTGAAGATGTCTTCGTAGCAATGTATTTGAAAGCATCAAAATTACATTCAGTTATGCATAAAAACTTTGCTTCTTGTTTATGGTCTGCATTTTTCTGCAATCACTTCAACAAAGTAAAAGTCTCTTTAACTTTTATTGTCCTTTCTCAGTTTCTTTCACTCTCAGTAACCAAATGTGTCTGAGTGGCTTTATTGCCTTGCTTGGGATGTGTTACACCGTACATATGGACTGTAATGTCTATGTCCTAATTCCTATAAATACATTGGTTTATGCTGTATGTTGTCTTCCACTTGGGATTCACTTGCATTCACTTCTAGCTCACCACTGAGGTTCTACACACCACAGGCGACTCTTTGTATGTTGTTCTGTTAGCTCACCACTTCAGCAGGTTACAAGATTACAGATCACTGCACACCCCAGGCTATTTTGAATCATGTCCCAATCTTGTATGTTGTTCCTGTTATAAATATTGATTACTTACTACACCACAGGCTTACTCTTGTATGTTGTTCCTGTTATAAATATTATCCACTTCCAACCCTCATTTTGATTATTCTTATTCAGTCACCTTTCCCTAGGTTACAAGATAAGAGCAGATCAGGAATGCTGTGCACCCCATATTTGGCTATTTTGCCAATCATGTCCCAATTCCTATAAATACATAGGTATATACTGTATGTTGTCTTCCACTTGCAATTCACCTTGATTCACTTCTAGCTCACCACTAGCAGTTGATTACTTACTACACACCACAGGCGACTCTTGTATGTTGTTCCTGTTATAAATATTATCGTTCCACTTCCAACCCTCATTTTGATTATTCTTATTCAGTCACCTTTCCTAGGTTACAAGATAAGAGCAGATCAGGAATGCTGTGCACCCCATATTTTGGCTATTTTGCCAATCATGTCCCAATTCCTATAAATACATAGGTATATACTGTATGTTGTCTTCCACTTGCAATTCACCTTGATTCACTTCTAGCTCACCACTAGCAGTTGA